ACCTCCACCTCCACCTCCTCCTCCTCCTCCTCCTCCTCCTCCTCCTCCTCCTCCTCCTCCTCCTCCTCCTCCTCCTCCTCCTCCCCCTCTTCGTCGTCTCCGTCGGATGGACATTCCTTCCTGGGCAGGTTGGGACCATCGGGTCCCCATCGGCGATCAGTGGGCGACTGAGGGTCGATGCATCCCCCCTATGCCTATCGCCCCCTAGCGTTGCACCCGAGGCAAGTTCAGGGGGCTTGCAATGCACGGGTGCACGGCACACCCCCAAGTGCGCCCACCGCGACACAGGGGGATGCCAGCGCGACGCCTGGGCAACGTCGACCCGACGGAGAGGACGAGGAGGAGGAGGAGGAGGAGGAGGAGGAGGAGGAGGACGAGGAGGAGGAGGAGGAGGACGAGGATTCTCCTCGACCTGCGAAAAACACACCTGTGGAAGGGTGTCCGGGCCTCTGCCGAGCGGAGAGGCCTCGCCGCGCAGGGGCGCGCCGCCGCCGCCGCCGCCGGCCTGCCCCCCGGGGGCGCCTCCGAGCGGGGCCGACCTGCCGATCCCGGCCGGTGGCGGCCGAGGGCGCGGCGAGGACGAGTGGGCGAGGAGGCGGCGGTCCGGCGGCGAGCGTGGGGGTCTCAGAGTTACGTTGTTCCCATCGTACTTGAGGACCACATCCCAAAAAGGATTTCGAGCGCCCAGTAAGGTATCGAAACAGCGTCGAAAGAGTATCGCCTCCCAGGGCCCGACACGTGAAGGCCCTGCAGTTTCGGTACTCTAGGTTTCTTTATAAGCGTGGGGGGTACCCCCCGACGGGGTCCAACCTCGCCTCGCCGTCGCGGCGCAACGGGGGTCGGAGCGCCTTCAGCGCGCGGTGGCTGCCCGCGACGAGGGTCGAATTGGGGCTATCGCCGGGGGTGACGTCCCCCCGACGCTTATTAAGAAACTCGGAGTACCCAGTACCGCCACAGGTCGGCCCGAGGTATCAGATCGAGGTCGGCTCGGGGACGGTGCCCTAATGTTCTTCGTGACTGTCTGATGTTATTGTGCATCCTGGGGAGGGTACCCTTGAATGTTCTGTGTGTTTTGACCGGCGGAGGGTCTCATGTTGTTGGAAGGATGTTCTTCTGTCCTGGGTTTGACTGCGCCCTTCCCTCTCGGCGGCGAGCGAGGGGGGGAGGTGAGAAGGAGAAGGCCTTCTCTGAAGGCGGCGGGGCTTTTCGGAAGCCCTCGCGCCTTCTGAGAAGTCTTCTTCTTGTGTGTTCGGGGAGGGCTCAGAAGACTGCTCAGAAGGCCGGGGGACTCCCGAACCTTCGGGAAGGGCCCGCCTCCTCTAGCTTCCCCCCAGGCTCGCCGCCGAAAGAAAGTGCTGCAGCGAGTGCACGATGTGGTTTTTCTTTTGGACCAGAGAACAAGCGGCACCACCCCACCTACGACCCAGTGAAGTTGAAGGTTTGGTCACTTGCCCACCACGGCCACCTACGACCCACCTACCACATCACCCCATCTACGACCCACCTACGACCCAGCGGGTCGTAGATGGGGTGGTGTCGTTTGGGCATTGGTCGATCTCTTGCGAGGGGAACAAGGGAACGGCAGGAAACTCGCGAGGCACCAGCCGATCGAACTCTGTGCCTGAAACGAATCGCCGTCAGCTGCTTCCACCGCCTCGGGCGGACAACTCCGGACCCCAGCGTCGGGCCGGGCATGCCCCCCTACAGGCGGATCTTGGAAGAAAACCGTCGCACCCAAAACAAAATTCGGACGAAGGCACGACGTCGTCGGTAAAGCGTCCCCAGGCTGTTGTTTTGTTGTTGCCTCTGCTCGCGTGCTCCTCCAGCAGAGGGACCTGCCCGACAGAACCCATGTAGACGGCGGGGGCACGGCCGCGCGTCCCGACTACCTACCAGACCACCCCAACCCAACCCGAAGACCCGAACTTGACCCGAGTCTCGGGTTGGGGGGGGTGCGGGTTCCATGGGATTTTTCAGCGTCCCCCGACCCCCCCCCACTGGAAATCGAGGATAAATTTTGGCCCTCGGCTTGTCGGGAGCGGCCAAGAGGGGGATGTCCAAGAGGGGGGGTGCAAATCATGACCGGCGGCATGTGCGCGGCCCAGCGGGGGGGCCAGGGACGTAATGAAATGAGAAGAGGCGCCATGAAATCTTGGGAAACATCATGGCCCCCGCCATGATATCCACGCCCCCCCCAGTCATCATCCCCCTCATTGCCGCCCCCGATTCTGACAACACCAGGGGGAGGGGAGGGAGGTGATCGGGGGCCGACCTGCTGGACTCGTGTCGGCGGCGGGCGCCCCTGCCGCAGGATGTGCCGCGGGCAGAGAGGTGGGGCCGCGAGAGGCCCACTCGTCCACCTGGTCACACACACACACACACACGCCGCAGGGTGAGGAGGATGGAGGCTTGCCAAATGGGCGACGGTCCAAAACGGGCCTTACGCGAAGTGACGCAGCGACTTTACGCGGAGGCCTACGTACGCGGGCCGCCAGCGCGGCACGCTGCGCTGGAAGCGAAGGCGCTTACGCGCAAGCTTACACGGGCAGCTTACGCGCCAGTGTCGGCGAAGGCGAACCCGTTTCTCTACGTCGATCTAACGGGACCAGAGTTGGGTCGGGCGTGTCCTCCTAGAGGCGGATTTGGGACTCAAAACCAAAAATAATCAAACAATGATCAAAAAGAATCAAAAGAGCACAAAAAATCGGCACCTGACTATTTTTCTACCATTCTTGAATGTTCCTCCAGTAGAGGGGCACGCCCGACTTGAGACCAGACAGTCGGAGAGAATCGGACTCATGGTTTCGCCGCATCGCCGATGCATCGGCGACGGGGCGCGGCCATCTGACCCCTATCAACTCTGACCCCACCTGGGAGGCCTCGAGACGAGCTGGACACAAGGGAGTCCGGCTGTTTCCCCCGTTCATTCCTGCCTCCCTTTCAGACGAAGCCAAGACGAGGATAGAATCGGACGACGATACATCGAGAGTCTCTGAGGTCTGGCGGCTCTGGGGGATGTCTCGGGCGCCGCGGCCTTCTCAGAGCGTTCCAGAACGCTCTGAGAGCGCTCCGGAACGCTCTGGAACGGATTCGTCATCGTCCTAACCTTAAGTCGGGCCTGTCCCCCTACAGGAGGTTTTTGGACGAAAAATAAAAGTACTCACAAAATACCCAAAAAAATACAACAACAACAACAACAACAACAACAACAACAACAACAACAACAACAACAACAACAACAACATCAACAACAACAACAACCAACAACAACAACAACAACAACAACAACAACAACAACAACAACAACAACAACAACAACAACAACAACAACAACAACAACAACAACAACAACAACAACAACAACAACAACAACAACAACAACAACAACAACAACAACAACAACAACAACAGTAACAACAACAACAACAACAACAACAACAACAATCACTTTACCCGAACGCTCAGTGTTCTCACCAGTGCCAGGGTTTTCATGCGACGCCAGCCAATACCCCCACTTTGTGGGGGGGCAGTGCAAGCTCTACCAAATATCCACACGACTCTTCGCCACCACCCACACCCAGCTTCCCGCCCTATGACGTTCGGACACTTCACTTCGTGGCCTGCGGACGACCGTGGCTACTACACTGGCGTGGAGTACACACCCACAGAAGTTGTTAAGCCTACGTTCGTACACCCACAGAAGTTGTTAAGCCTTGTTAACCCACAGAAGTTGTTAAGCCTTCCACAGAACATCTGTTGCATATGATGCATATGGTACATGATACACATGATACACATGATACGTACTCACAAGATAGTTGATCACATCTTTAGGGCAAATTCCTGAGGGATGTGGGAATACACAAGAGAGAGAGGATATGGTTGTCCCGATGGTTGTCTCGATGGTTGTCCCGATGGTTGTCCTGATGGTTGTGGTTGTCCCGACCTACGGTGCGATTCGTGTGATTTTATGATGCGCGGTGCTAAAATTCTTAAGAACCCAATGGTTTTTGGAGATTTCGGCGTGCGCGCGCGAAGAAAAAACGAATGTGTCCCGCATGGTATTATTTGACAGGGATGATGGCCCTGGCAGGTGCGCAACCGTTGTCGCAGAAGTTCGAAAAAGTTGCTCGCAAAAGCCCGTTTGACAGAAATGTTTAAAAAGTGTTGGTTTTCCTACGAATCCGCAAGAGCGCGCGGGATGAGATTTTGACATTTTTTTGTTGAAAAACCATTGGTTTTTTGATGTTTTTATGTTAAAATCGCTCCGAACACTAAGCTTTTGGAAGGATTTCGTCTTGCGCGCGCGAATGTCCACTTTACCTTATTTTTTGCAAGGGATTCTTGAAATTTGATTATATTAGAACAAGAAATGTCATTTTATAGTGTTTTTTGCAAGGGAAAGCGGGGGGGAACAAAACAACCGGATCTTGATCACATCGAATTACCTGAGGCTTCCTCACGAAAATGATGAAAATGTAGCTGCGGCCTAGGCGGCGCAGGGGGGCCGTGCACCAGGGGTCCCAACAATAATTATTCTTTAGAATTAATAATGTTCAATAACAACAACAACAGCAACAACAACAAGAACAACAACAATAGCAACAACAACACCAACCACAACAACACAAACAAAACAAAAAAAAAAAACAACAACAACAACAACAACAAGAACAACAACCACAACAACAACAAGAACAACAAGAACAACAACAACAACAACAACAAAACAACAACAACAATAACAACAACAACAAGAACAACAGCAACAACAACAAGAACAACAACAACAACAGCAACAACAACAACAACCACAACAACAAAAACAAAAACAACAACAACAACAACAACAACAATAACAAGAACAACAACAACAACAACAACAACAAGAACAACCAGAACAACAACAACAACAACAACAACAACAGAAATGCTCAAACATCGTAGCTCCGTCCGTCCGACGCTTCCCCGCCCGCCATGCCGAGCAGCGCGGGGGGCGCCTGCGAAGCGGAGCTGGACCAGGCCATGCCCGGGTTCCGCATGCGGAGCGGCAGGGTCTTCAGGTCCAGCCCGGGGACCTGCATGTTGGCGTCGAAGGCCTTGGATGGGACGCACATGGACATACGAGTACTATATGTCCGCCTTGGAGGCGCGCGTCCGACCCGAACATATAGTATACCCATCTTGTAGTAGATCGTTTCCCGAGCGGTGTGGCCAGAAAGCGCCCGCCACGACGCATATACTATAAGATTTCTCGGTGCGCGCGTCGCCCCTGGGGGGGCGACGCACATATAGTATAAGTATGTTGGCGTCGAAGGCCTTGGAGGACGGGCGGGCAGAGCGGACGGGGAGGCCCAGGTCGCCCAACGTCGTGCTTCGCGCTGCGCGGACCGCGAGGCGTGATAGCGCTCGCGCCCTCGCGACGCCCCCCCCGGAGAAGAGCAGCTCTCGTCCCCTGGCCGCGGCGCGCGAAGCACGACTATCTTCGCGCAAACGCAAGAGACTTTGGAAGCCCTGATTGTCCCGTGTAACTGCTCGGCCCTTTCACCATCAAACCCCGAGGAAAGAAAGCTGGAGCGGATGCGAGACGAAAGAGTACCGATCGATTTGATAAGGAGCCGAACTCTATACACAGACACTTTTTCAGGCCCCGCATGGAAATCCGCCCAGGGAAACGGATCCTGGTGTATATGGGATCCTGGAGTATGCATTTGTCGTTGTTTCTTTCCCCAGGAAACAAAGAAACAAATATACACCACACCACCCCGACGTCATCCCCGACCCTCGAAAAGTCTTAGGATTGAAAAACGGCCCGCCACTGTTCATGTATAATATATATTCCAGTTTCCGAAATTTGAGGGTCTCAAGACAAACGAAGGGCTACATCGATCAGGACGCCGTCGGAATCCCGACGGCACTCTGGCCGCGAGCGGCCTGGAGAGCCGGCTCTTCCAGACCGAGCCTTCTTCCCTCACACCGCGACCATCACGACAACTCGCACGGGTACGGGCAGGAGTGCTTCCCACCAGTCGGCGGTGGACAAACCTCCCTTTAGTAGACCTCCCTTTAGTGAAAGCGGCATAGGACCGAAACCTACGGACCTGGACCCGCAAAAATGACGGCCGCGACGCCCTCTCACGAACCGAAAAAGGCCAATTCACTAATCGACGCGTCAGGGTAGGAGGTCTATCAAACTCCGAACCAGCACCTCCCTGGGAGCCTGGACGGGACCTCCAACCGTCATCTCAGGTCGGGCATGTCCCCCTACACAGGCGGACCTTGGAGGGAAAACCAAAGCAAGCCAAAAAAACAACTCAACCATGGCCAGTAATAGTCGAAAGATCGTCCCTTGACTATTTTGTTGACTATTTTGGGGCACATTTCCCCTGCAGAGGGACATGCCCGACTTGGACGCCCGAGTTGGGTACGGAAAGAATGGGCACAATGCCCAACAACAAATGCTGTGCTGTCCCAAATCAACAGCGGCCGCTGTTGGGCGGGCGGCCTTCTGTCTCGAATGGACACAGGCCGCGGCGGCGTGGACAGCGAATCCTGTTCAACAGAAACAGGAACTGCTGCTGGGCATTGTACCCATTTGGGGGGATACTCCCCCTGCAGAGGGACATGCCCGACTGGAACTTCATCTGCGGGTGCACTGCCACGAGCCGGCGGGCCGAGCTGGGCGCCCCGGGACGGTCAGGCTCGGGAGTGACTGGGGGAGGGGTCGGCTGACAGTGCCACGGGCCGGGTCGCTGCTGCGGGAGTCTGGGAACGCATGCGAGGAGGAGGAGGAGGAGGAGGAGGAAGAGTTCGTGTACCCTGAGGAGGGGCGTCATGAGTGTCATAGATCCAAGAAGTGAGCGGCGAGCGAGGCTCAACCGTCACCCTCGGCCTCCCAGACAGGAGAAAGGGGCCCGCAGGCGCCAGCACCGACAGTCAGGGGATAAGCAGATACCTCGTCGCTCAGCGACTCGCTGCCCAACCGAAACGGCGCGGTGCGTAGGGGGACAGCCGGTTCACCGCGTCACCGCGCAATACTTCCCGACCGTCACCCCTAGAGAACCGGATGGCATGTGCAACTGGGATTCTACCAATTCTACCTCAGGGTGAGCGGACACAAGGTCCCAAGGGACGTACGGACCACATGGCCCCGCCTCTCAACCAAATGCACACTCCCCGTGCCTGGTACCCATCTCCAGGTCACGGGCGCAGCTAACGCGCCGCTGCCACGGGCAAAGTGCCACGTGGCTGGAGCTAGAACGACGAAAGCCGGTTTATCTGCCCCCAGCCGCCGCATGCAATTGACACTGACAGTGTGCCCCGAGAAGTGCGTGGCGCTGACACCATGAGAACAGGTGCCAGGCCCCCACCATCGGGGTGTACCCTGAGGAGGAGGAGGAGGAGGAGGAGGAGGAAAAGGAGGAGGAGGAGGAGGAGGAGGAGTTCGTGTACCCAGAGGAGGAGGAGGAGGAGGAGGAGGAGGAGGAGGAGGAGGAGGAGGAGTTCGTGTACCCTGAGGAGGAGGAGGAGGAGGAGAAGAAGAAGAAGAAGAAGCAGGAGTTCGTGTACCCTGAGGAGGAAGAGGAGGAGGAGGAGGAGGAGAAGGAGGAGTTCGTGTACCCTGAGGAGGAGGAGGAGGAGGAGGAGGAGGAGGAGGAGGAGGACGTGTACCCTGAGGAGGAGGAGGAGGAGGAGGAGGAGGAGGAGGAGAAGGAGAAAGGCATCTGTGCGTGGCCTCCGCCCTGCAGCCCCCGTGCACCGCGCCCTGCTGAGCCTGACGGTGCCGGCATGCTCTCGGGTTATCTTGCCTGTTGGCGGGGGCGGGGTGCAAAGCCGTGGCCTCAGCCTTATAGCCCGATAGCCCGATAGCCCTACAGCCCTATAGCCCGATAGCCCGATAGCCCTATAGCCCTATAGCCCGATAGCCCGGTTGGGGGTTATAGCCTTATAGCCCGATAGCCCGGTAGCCCTATAAGGGAGCAATTGGAAGATTGAAAAAATCTGATTGGGTTTTTTCTCCGGTATCATCTTGCCTGTTGGCGGGGGCGGGGTGCACAGCCGTGGCCTCAGGGGTGGCTTTTTTGAACGTGCACAGTCGCCCATAATTACGCCCCAATGCGTTCTGCGCTCGGGCGCGCGTGCATGGATGGACGCATTGCTGTGTACGAAAGCGCGTCTGATATTTGGACATTGCAAAATCATGCTCTCTATCCACCACAGAACTAAATGCTGGCCATGCTCTATCTCTACGCTACGAGCGAGAGGGGGATGTGAAGAGAACACGGGACGGAAGAAAGACAACTGGCGTGTGTTCTACCAAATGTTGCTACCAAAAGCAAACTTCCCGAACTTACGCGCACGCGCGGGGACGGTGGCCACAACTCCGCCCCCGACTGGGAAGCGTTCCAGAATGAGCGGGTGGGGGAAGTCGTCCGAAGCGTCAATGTCATGCGGAGGATGACAGTACGGCACCCCCTGGGTTAGGCACGGAGCTCATCAGCTCGAGGATCGGATCGGCTCTGGCCGAGTCGTCCGAGACGTCCGAGACGCCGAGACACCGAGATTTGCTTCCACAAGCCCAGACCCCTAACGTCATGATCTTATCATAACGTCGACCCCCCAGAAATCTCGACCCATTCCCTCGGACCGGTTCTTCTTGCCGAGTCACTACTTGACTGTCCCGAGGGCCGGTAAGGGGCCCCCAGATAGACAAGCGCGCTTCACTACTCGCGCGAAGTAACTACTCGCAAATAGCCTGGATCTGCCGCGGGGGATCTACGATCCAAAAACTTCACCGAACCAAGCATACGAGCTTCTTCGGACGCGCGCGAGTAGGCACTCTGCGAGTAGTGGAACGCGCTCGAGGACCAGAGGCCGAAAACGACGAAACACTCCCCGTCATCCTTTTCTGCCACGGCCCGAGGGGCTCTGGACGGGGACGGGAGGGGGAGGGCGCGAGGGGAGAAGGAGGAGGAGGAGGAGGAGGAGGAGAGGAGGAGGAGGAGGAGGAGGAGGAGGAGGAGGTGGAGGAGGAGGAGGGGAGGAGGAGGAGGAGGAGGAGGAGGAGGAGGAGGAGGAGGAGGAGGAGGAGGAGGAGGAGGAGGAGGAGAGGGGGAGCAGGAGAGGAGGAGGAGGAGAAGGGGAGGAGGAGGAGGAGTGAGGAGGAGGAGGAGGAGGTGGAGGAGGAGGAGAACTAGGGGGAGGAGGAGGAGGAGGAGCAGGAGGAGGAGGGGGAGCAGGAGGAGGAGGAGGAGGAGGAGGAGCCCAGGTGGCTGCTCGGCCAGACCACCCCAGCCCAACCCGAAGACCCGAATTTGGCCCGAATTTCGGGTTGGGGGGGGTACGGATTCCATGTGCTTTTGCAGCGATCCCCGCCCCGCCCCCCCCAAAACTGGAAATGGAAGGCAAATTGAGGGCTTCGGGTTGGGTTGGGGTGCTTTGGTGGGTGGTGAAGAATGAAGAATAATCCAAAAATATCCCAAACGGCAAAAAAAACACAAAAAAAACGAAACGAAAAAGCCGTTCCCATACTATGTTTGGACTAGTTTTGCATATTCCTCCTGTAGAGGGACAGACCCGACTTAACCCTGGCGGCTCCCAGGGTTGGCAGGCGTCGTCCTTTCGGGCGCGTAGAGAGCAAGCAGCTCGGCGACACAAGTTCATGTCGTCGGAGGTGCCTCTTCAACATGAGCACATAGCTAAGTCGGGCTCGAGTGGAGAGGACACGCGAGGGGACACAGGACCCTTCCGAGGGCTACACTGCGGGCTACACTGCAATAGGAATGTAAAAGGTACGCCTCATTAAAGACAGGACACAAGGGTACCCTGGACTTGGCAGAACAGAACAGAACAGCTGTCCACGCCCGGGAGGGCAGCCCGGAGACGGGCGACAGGCATGCTTAGCACGCTGGCCCTTCGAGAAGGACTGGTAAAACTGCTGCGAAGGACAACGCGCGAGAAGCAAGCGACGAAATCTGCGGCAGTTCTTATTTCGATATACAGCCAAACGCTGCTGCGAAGAAGCCAAACGCTCCACCGCAAGACGATGACGATGCGACCCTTGACTTGGCAGGGTCGACCTACTAAGCAGGGCCGACTGTGTGCCCTTCGGCGTCCCGTCTCGGCGTCTTCTGCCCTTTCTCTGCTGGGAGGCCTCCAGGAGGCCCCCCGCGGCCACGGCTGGTTTCGATCTCCTCGAAGGCCTGGTCGAGCTCTTCCTCCTCCTCCTCCTCCTCATCATCATCATGCTCCTGCTCCTGCTCCTGCTCCTGCTCCTCCTCCTCCTCCTCCTCCTCCTCCTCCTCCTCCTCTCCTCCTCATCCTCATCCTCCCTCCTCCTCCTCCTCCTCCTCCTACTACTCCTACTCCTACTCCTACTCCTACTCCTACTCCTACTCCTACTCCTACTCCTCCGCCTCGCCTCCGTCCCTCCTCCTCCCTGGCGGCCCCTGGCGCCCCCTGAAATGAAAGAACAAAAGACGGCATAAACATACACTTTCGACGGTCCGCGCGGATCTCTCGGATTCGCGCTGGGAACCCCCTCCTCGGTGGCTCGAAGATGGGGTCCTGAGAGGTGGGGTCCTGAGGACGAGGTGCCTCAGACTATGCGAATTCACCCTTGGATCCCTTCCTATCCTCAGGACCCCCTCCCTCACAACCCCATCTTTGAACAACCGACCTCCCTGAGCACACCAGGGGCGGCGCCGGAGGCGCCGCCAAGGGGGCCCAGCGCGGATCTAAGAAATCCGCGCGGACCGTTGAAAGCCTATGTTTAAATCGTTATTTGCTCTTGGGGTTCGCTCCAAGTCGGGGCCTCGCCAACGCTCGGACGTTTGCTCCCCGTGCACTTTGCGGTTTCGTGCGTTTATTCTTCGCACGATAGATGCTCCTCGATGGCCCTCGCCGAGAAAAAATGCACACGTCCGAGCGATGTCAAATGGCTAGTGGAGTACAGGACGGAAAGCCCACCCCGAACATAACAACCCCGGCACGCGAAGCCGTGTAGCAAACGCACCCACGAAGGGAATCGAGCAGGGCAGGGCCGTTTAAAAAACGCCCAGGGCCGTTTAATAAACGCCAGTTGTCCGGTCCGGGTGGCTTTCGGGAGCGGCCAAGAGGGGGGGGTCCAAGAGGGGGGGTGCAAATCATGACCGGCGGCATGTGCGCGGCCCAGGGGGGGGCCAGGGACGTATTGAAACAAGAAGAGGCGCCATGAAATCTGGGGAAGTATCATGGCCCGCGCCATGATATCCACACACCCCAAGTCATCACCCCCCTCTTTTCTGCCCCCAAGGTTTTTCCTCCCCGCATGGAGACCCCCGGAGGCTGCCCGGGGCCGCAGGCGCCCCCTGCCACTCGAGGGGCGCGGGCGGAGCCGCGCAGCGGAGCGCCCAGGAGGTGCCGAGCCAAGGGGCGCGGGCCTGCGGGACGGTCTCGGTCTCGTACTGCAGGGACACGCCTGAGAGGCAACGCCGGGGGGGGGGGGACGAGCTCGGGAGGAGGGAGGAGGGAGCTCGGGAGGAGGGAGGAGGGAGGAGGGAGGAGGGAGGAGGGAGGGGGAGGAGGGGAGGATGGGAGGAGGAGGAGGAGGAGGAGGAGGAGGAGGAGGAGGACAGCAGGAGGAGGAGGAGGAGGAGGCGGGGGTAACCGCGAGCTTGGAGCGGCGAGGCATCGCCGACAGGTGGGCGAGGGGCCCCCGAGGGCGAAGCCCGCACCTTCCTGGGCGGGGCGGGCCAGCGTGCCCCACGTCGGCGACGATTGGGCGATTGGGGGTCGATGCAGCCCCCCCGAGCCCATCCCCCTCTGTCGTTCGTTGCCCCTGGACGCCGAAGTAGTTCTGGCTCGGGTCGGGTACCCCGCCGGGGTTGACCATGTACACGCCGAAGGTGTAGGCGGCACCTGGCGGCCGCGCCGGAGGTCTAGACCGCCGCCCCTGCGCCTGGATCCTCCCAGACGACGTCGGGGCCAAGCTTTCGAGGTTCGTCCAGCCGTGGCCACGAGAGCCCCCACCGACAGAACGCACACTCACAGCAACAGAACATCGAAAAACAAAACCGATCAAACAAAGACGAGAAGAAGGCGGAGGGAACCCGCGACGATGGAGGCGTTCTCCCACATGAGCGTCAGCGGCTGGTTGGCGCCGCCTGCGGTGCACTCCGGCATCAGCACGAAGCCGAGCGGCTCCACCCCGCTGCCGCTGGGCCCGGTGCACATGATGTTGTAGCCTCTCCAGGGGGGGGTCCCCGCCCATCGAGGGGGGGAGGGGGCGCAGTCAGGAAGGGTGAGGAGGGGGAGGAGGAGGAGGAGGAGGAGGAGGAGGAGGAGGAGGAGGAGGAGGAGGAAGAGGAGGCGGAGGAGGGGGGCGCAGTCAGGGAGGGGGCGCGCTCAGGAAGGGTGAGGACCGAGAGGGAGAAAGAGAGGAGGCACAACGATGTGCAGGAGAGCTCAGGATCGAATCGACAGGTCGAATCGGCGATCGAAACGAATCGGATCGGCGGAGATCAGCAGCCGAGTCGGAAAAAGTCGAATCGGCGGAAATCGGCAGGCTAGCATGCCTCCAATGAAAAATCGAACCCAAATTGGAATCCCAAGCCGAATCAAATCGAAGGAATCGAAGCCGTCGAAGCCGAAGCCATCGAAGCCATCAAAGTCGAATCGAAACCATCGAAGTCGAATCGAGTCGAATCGGATGAATCGAAACGAGCCCTGGGGGGGGGGGGGCAGGGCAGTGCAGAGAGGAGCTGGGGTCCACCCTTTTTGCAGCCAGGTGGGCTTGGCACACCCGCCTGGGGCCAGCGGCCCTCTCCAAGGGAGGAGGGGGCAGGAGGACGGGGAGGAGGAGTAAAGAAGGGGGAGGGGGAGGGGGAGGAGGGGGGTGGGGGAGGGGGAGGGGGAGGGAGGAGGGGGAGGAGAGGGGAGGAGGAGGAGGAGGAGGAGGAGGAGGAGGAGAAGGAGGAAGAGGAGGCGGGGGAGGGGAAGGAGGAAGAGGAGGAGGACGAGGAGGAAAGTCCCCAGACTTCTGAGAACTCGAAAAGATCGCGCCGGAAGGCAGCCGCGGATTGCGGCCTTCGGGGGACCTTGTCGTGATTATCGAGATGATGTGCTCCATGTTTATCGTGGACTCGTAACGAAAACATATCAAACAAATAAACGAACTAGCGCACAAACAAACACACAAACAAACGAATGAACTAACGAGCGAACAAATAAACAAACAACCAACCAACCAAACAAACATACAAAACAAACAAACTAACTGACTGACTGACTAACTAACAAATAAACGAACAGACAGACAGAAAGACAAACAACAAACAAACAGACAGTCAGTCAGACAGACAGACAGACAGACAGGCAGACAGACACACAGACAGACCGACAGACAGACAGACAGACCTACAGACAAACTAAAAAACTAACTGACTAAACTAACACACTGTGGCCGACGGGCCGAGGAAATCGGCTCGTCGAAGCTCTGAGGAGCAGAAGCAGCAGCGGCGGGGTCAGGATTCCTGATGCAGTCAATGTCCACTGTAAGGATGCACTGGCGGCGCACAAGAAGGACGTACACGTACATGAATCCACGTTGGTTTCGATTGCACGCATTGCGCGAACGTTCGTATCACGCGGCCGGTCTCGCGGATTGGGGGGCCATTCTCATGTACATGGTTGGGCGCGTACCTCCTTCGGTGGTCTCCCTAAGTTTGGCGGCGCGCAGAGGGGTGCAGACTTCTTAGAAGGAGGCTGCTTCTTCGAATGCGCCGGCCTTGCATCTACAGAAAAGGCCCGCGACTTCTAAGAGGCAGGGGTGCTCCCAAGAAGGCTTCCCCTCTCCCCATACCCTCTCCGCGCATGGCCGAAAAATACGGATGCAACGCCCTTGGAAGTTCCAGTTACCATTGATTTAGAGCTGTGGACGTCAACATTGGCTCAGGATGGGCCGAGGAAGCAGGGATGGTAAGGGTAAACTGGATGAAGCAGCGCATCCTTACTACGAGCTTTGACTGTACGCCTCAGTCTTTTCATCCAACTTGTCCTTCTCCTCGTCCCCTCCCTCCTGAGATCTGAGGACGCCCCCGGAAACACCCGAAAACCGAACCGTCCCCCCTTTACCCCCTCCCTCCCCACTCGCCACGCCTTCCCATTCCGCCCCGCGCCAGGAGGAAGGCGGGGCAGAAAGCAGGAGGCGCCTTACAGTGGGAGGGGGGCTTTAGGGGGAAGGCACAGGTGCACAAGCTCAGGTGGAAAGGCACTCGGCGATCAGAGGGGTATGCACTCGGCGCTCGCCTTGGTTTGGCGGCGGAGTGACCACAACGTACACCTTCGCCGTCGGGGAGGCTCTGTTCGGCGTGAAGGTGAAGAAGCCAGTGGCAGGCTCCCCGATCTGGTTGTTTCCCTCGCGCACGCCGCCGCACTTGCCAGGCGAGCTACCCGAGCAACACAAACACGCGCACGCGAGAGAGCACGCCACTGCGACAACGCAAGGAAGACTGTCTGCAGTCGCGGCCGACGCAGCTTGGACGTTAAACGACGGAGTCAGCCCGTCCCGAGTATGCTGCGGCCAGGGGGGCAACAGATCGCATGTGGGTGCATGTAGATTTGTGCGCCCGCTCTACTCTCAACATGACGTGTACGGGAGTCAACGCAAATCAGCTACAAGCAATTGCTCTCGTGGATATGACCGTCTCGCGGTGCCCATACTGGAGCATGTGTCGACGCATGCGCAGGCAGGCTGCTTGCTACTGCGCGCACACAAAGGCATGTGGGTGCACCCTATCGATGTAGGTCTAAATCACCATTCAAGCTCGCACACGCACGCACACTTTTGGGCGTCGGCGGCTGGGCAGAGGGCGACTGCTCTGGCGGAAAGGCAACAGGGGACACGCTGTATGCAAATTAAAGCCGCGATGCACGGAAGGAGGAGGAGGAGGAGGAGGAGGAGGAGCCCCGGCGCGACAGGAAGAGAGGAAGCCAGGCCACTCACAGCTGCCGGCTGCGGCGGGGGGAGCACCGAGGGGGGAGCAGCGTCGGGACAGAGCTGCACTGGGCTGCACTGGGCTGAAGCTGGGGGGGAGGCAGCATAGAACTGCAGCTGGGGGTGGGAGCCCGACCCAGTGGACCGAGCAGTCCAGGGATGGGCCAGTGCGCCGAGACCTGCGGGCCTAAAGGCAGAGAGGCACGAATGAACAGCCCCAGCGGCGGGAGCCGCGACGCAAGTGGGCACCAGCGCCAGTACTGGGCAGCACTGAGCTGAACAGGGCTGAAGCTAGTGCTGAACGGCATTGAGCAGCAGCTCAGGATGGTAAGCCAAAGTGGCAGAGCCCAACCCAGTGAATCAAGGCACGGTCCAAGGATGATCCGAAGCGCCGAGACCTGCGGGCCTGCGAGGCGCGTGGAGGGAGGGGTGGATGACAAGCGATGGCACCGCGCAGCACTGAGCGGCACAGAGCAGCACACGCGCACACACACACACAAAAAAAAGCGCATACGGTCTACGCGCCCAACGTTCCCTTACCAGGCCGACCACTCCCCTCCCCTCCCTTCACGTCATTCCCACTCCCTCCCCCATCCACAATTGCTCAATGTGATTTCTGCGGTCCCCTCTCCTCCGAAGACGACCCTAAGAGTCGCGCACCCCCCTCCGCGCAGTGCCGTCTAGCACACAGGATGGGTCCAAGCTATTGCTTGTTGTTTCTCACGTGCGTTTCCACTCCGAGCGACCTCGGTGTCTCCAAAATGGTGTTCCTGCTGCAGCGTGGGCCTTGTTTAGGATCGGGACTCTGAACCCATCGTTTCGAATGGAGCTCTCGCCCCAATGCGGACCCCGTTTCTGAATCCGAGTCCTTCCGCAACGCTGTCGCCGCCCTCATTCCTCCTCATCAGCCTTCCACTGGTCCTCCTGCTGCTCCCGCTCCTTCCACTCCAGCTCCTGATGCTGCAATTGTTCGTCCTCGTCCTCCTCCTCCGCCTCCTCCTCCTGCTCCGCCTCATCCTTCATCTTCCTCTTCCCCCTCCTTTTCCTCATGCTCATCCTCCTGCTCAACCGTCAACCGTCGTCTCCTCCTCCTCCTCCTCCTCCTCCTCCTCCTTCTTCCTCCTCCTCATCTTCCTCCTCCTCTTCCTCTTCCTCCTTCTGTTCCTCCTGTTCCTCCTGCTTCCTCCTCCTGCTCCTCCTCCTCCTCCTCCTCCTCCTCCTCCTCCTCCTCCTCCTCCGCCTCCGCCTCCGCCTCCTCCTCCTCCTCCTCCTCCTCCTCCTCCTACTCCTCCTCCTCTCCCTCCTGTGTACGCAATTCCCCTTTTCCGATTGCGCTTAACACGATGGGGTCGTTTGCGGGGTTCCAGGTCCGCAATGACACTCATGACGCTGGTCCGCGGATAGCGAAAAATCAGCGCAATGGGAATGTATGGGTGGGAGGCGTAAGATATCAGATATGGCGCGAGCGCACCTAGCTTGCCTTCCTCCACTCCCCCCTCCCCTCCGATCCCATCTCCTGTCCCTTCCCTTTACTCCCTTCCTCTCATTCTCTCCCCTCACCTCCACACACCTCCCCTCCTCATGTCCCTCTCCAACAGAACAGATGACAGCTGCGGCCTTGTACGTGACGGGCATCGTAGCGATATCGTAGCCCTCCGCAACGGAGTACCTGAGCGCGCGCTCCCGCGCGCGCGGGAGCGCGAAAAGGGAAGAGGAGGAAGTGGAGGAGGGAGAAGTGAGGAGAGACGAGGGAGGAGAGACGAGATGCTGGAGGGGGAAGAGAGTACCGCTCGTACTGGATTGCATCGTTCGTGTACAGCTTCGCGGTCCACTCGTTCACCTCTGGCGTGTACTCTGGGTTGATCCCCAGCAGCTCGACCTTGACGGGGTCACCGGCCAGCTGCGTGCTCTGGGTCGTCAGCTCGGCAACAGTGTCCTGGCCGATGCACTTCCTGAATGCGCTGTACCCGTTGTACAAGCATTGGGCCTCGAACTCAAACCCCAACGGCCCCTCGAGATCGACAATGATGGTGCCTCCTTGCCTGAGGGGTCTGCAGCTCCCCGAGCGACTCGAAGGCGCGATCCATTACTAATCTGCTCCGCTTGGGGCTCCCTCCTCCTCCTCCTCCTCCTCCTCCTCCGCCTGCTCCGCCTCCTCCGCCTCCGCCTCGTCCTCGTCCTCCTCTTCCTGCTCCTCCTCCTCCTCCTCCTCCTCCTCCTCCTCCTCCTTCTCCTCCTCCATCCTCCTCCTCGTCCTCCTCCTCCGCCTCCGCCTCAGCCTCCGCCTCCGCCTCCTCCTCCTCCTCATCCTCCACCGCCTCCTCCTCCGCCTCCTCCTCCTCCCTCCTCCTCCTCCTCCTCCTCCTCCTCCTCGTGCTCCCCCGCTTATTGTTAGTAGTATTAGTATGGTTAGTAATGCGTATTGCGATTATTAGTATTAGTAGTATTAGTATTATTAGTAGTACTACTATTACTATAATTCGTATTAATTACTGCTAGTAGTATCAAAAGTATGAATAGTACTTTATTCGTGGTATTAGTAGTAGTAGTAGTAGTAGTAGCAGTAGCAGTAGTAGTAGTAGTAGTAGTAGTAGTAGTAGTAGTAGTAGTAGTAGTAGTAGTAGTAGTAGTAGTAGTAGTAGTAGTAGTAGTAGTAGTAGTAGTAGTGTTGCTAGTATTATTAGTGTTATGCGTAGTAGTAATACTAGAAGTATTAAGATTAGCAGTAATGGTATTAGTCTTAGTATTATAAGTATTACTATTCGTATTAAGAATACGAGTACTAGTAGTGGTATAAGTATTACTGTTAATAATAATAGTAACAATAATGATAGTAGTATTAATCCTATGTGTAGCAGTATCGTGATTATAAGTGATGTTATTGTTATTGCTAGTACTAGAACGATTGTTAATAATAGCAATACTAGTAAAAGTCGTGTGGTGATTCTTAGTGCCCGTCTCCGTATGGTTGTGAACAGCTCGTTCGTAGTATGTTCGTACTGTTATTAGTAGTAGGAGTAATGCTATCATTAGGTGTGCTATTATGATCAGTATCCTCGTCGTAGCATGACCATTAGTTGTAGCAGCAATAATAATACGGCCAGTGCTGTTACTCATACTCGTGTGCGTATGGTTTGTATTAGTTTTGGTATTAATATCGTCATTAGCATTATTCATGGTACTACTACCGTTATTTGAAAATCAAGTGTTAGAAGTATTCGTAGTCGTGACATGGTTGTTAGTGCCAGTATTAGTATTAGTAGTCGTGGCTTTCTTATTGGACGTAGGTTTAGTCAGAGTACTTAGTCGTGTCAGTAGTGGTAGTAGTGGTATCAGTGTCAGTA